GCCCAAGGTGACTTATAGGTTTCTGTGGCTGAGTGGGAATTCAAACTCTGGTTCTAAGTCATAATCCCACATTCAAACCATTACACCACACTGCCTCTCTGTACATGCCTTCAAGTTGTCTGCAGACCTATGGTGACTTCATGTATTTCATAGGGTTTTCTTATGCAAGGAAACTCATACCAAAATGGTGGGAGACAATGCTCCCATCACTATTTCCTGCTCAGACTATGAGCTGCCTGTACCTATATCAAGTTGCTAGCATTTAAATATTAATAAATTATTTACAACTGTTGCCTAATTACACAATAATCCTTGAATGCTTTTACATTGGTTACCTTTAAATATCAAACTGAATGTACCTAATTCCATTATATAAGAAGTTATCACAAAGGGATAAAGGTATAAATAGTTCTATCATAATGCAATCTTAAACGTACTGTATCTCCTAAAAACAAGTTTCATTGAACTGAATAGAGCTTATTCCCAAACAAGTATCTATAAGGTTTTAGCTTTATTCACTTGAATTCACAGCAGCATTTCCTCTGATTTCAGCAACAGCACAGACATCCCTAGAAAGCAGAGTAGGAACTGTGTGACAATCCAGATGCAGTTGTACTGCAATACCCAGGAGCTTTAAGTCACATAGTCAATTACTATGAAGGCTAGGACAAGGTCATCAGGAGAGCCACACAATTCCCACCGAGCTATAAAGATCTAAAAAATTCTACAGGATAAGAGGTATTGGGATTAAGCTAGTAATGGGAGAACAGTAGACATAGTTTTAAAAAACAAAATAATAAAAAACAACATTTATTTATTTATTTATTTATTTATTTGCAGTATTTCTACCCTACTCTTCACACCCCTGTAGGGGGACTCAGAGCGGCTAACAATGGCAATGATTAGATGCCGCAGTAATTACAATAATAAAAGCAAAATAAAATCATACAATACAATACATTAAAACAGCATTAGTTATCCAATCATAAAGACAAGCCAATTTTATTCCACCTGTAAATTACATAATCAATAAATGCTCCATATATACTTTGTACTTGGTGAGATTCCAAACTTTTGTTTTGTCAGATGACTTTCATGCCATTTCACAAGCTTACTGCAACTTTCTTCAGCTTATCATGTATCATGTGTGCACACAGTCTATTGTTCAAGATAAACCTTGTGCAGGCGATTTCAGTGTACCAGGCTAACCACACATTTAAGATCCCAGTCCTAATTTACAATGTAATTATTATTTTATTGTAGACACCCTAAATAAATACATAAATGTTATCTCTAGAGTAAAGCGGCAGAGAAAACATTTCTCTCCCCTCATTAATCAACATAATGCAGTTGTATGTTCGGTTTACCACAGGAATTACAACCAAAACTTTTGAAGACCAGAGATCTATGACCAGACAAAAATGAAGCTAATAAACAATTGCAGAGAACAGCTTTGCCACCCTGCTTGCATTCATGACCATTGTGTATATTGTGTACACTGAACCATCAGAAATGATCACTTTCTCAGCCACCCATGAAGACAATTTTGGAATATTTCAAATTTTGGAATTCCAGATTTTATTTTATTTTATTGTGTTCGGGGCGACTTGAGAAACTGCAAGTTGCTTCTGGTGTGAGAGAATTGGCTGACTGCAAGGACGCTGCCCAGGGGATGCCCGGACATTTGATGTTTTACCATCCTTGTGGGAGGCTTCTCTCATGACCCCGCAGAGGGAGCTGGAGCTGACAGAAACAGCTCAACCCACTCTCTCTCCAGATTCAAACCGTTGACCTATCAGTCAGCAGTCCTGCCGGTACAAGGGTTTAACCCACTGCAGGCTCCACAGATAAGAGATGCTCAATTTGTAAATGGTATAAAAATAAGCAATTTTTTATGTATAGAAGAAAATGTATTTCTGAAAATATGAGTTAAGATCCTACATGATCTGCATGCTCAGTTCATGCAGATTGGCAGTCTAACCAAGGGAGGCTCAATAGGTATCCTATTAATGCCACCAAAAAATCAAAGCAACACTTAAATTGTCATATGCATTTAATTCATCCTGTCAGTCTGTTTCGGCTCACTGCCTTTCACCCTACGCCAAAGGCTTCATGTTGACCCAAATAGAGAGTGATCCCCCATTAACTTGACTATGAGGTGTGACTATAAGGTCTTCTCCTTTTAACCCCTTTTTCCAAGTGTCTACAAACAACAACAACAACAACTCAGCACATCTGCCTGGCACAGATGGAAGGAGAGCAAAACAACACACCAGCCTACGTGGGCCTCCTAAAGCCCTAATCCTCTGCTGAGTTTTCTTGCTTCAGCACAGACAGCTCCCTTCTCCACGCCTGCAGTTTGCAGCCGCAAAAGCCTGGGTCAATTCAAGTGGGTGCCCAGGGAGGCCGGAAACGAGCTCTGCAAAGCCAGGCAGCCTGTTGTTGCCCCCTTCAGGGTGCCTGAAATGGTGACTGCTGTCAACCTCTGGCTGAAAGGGAGGGAGGGGAGGGGAAGCAGCCAGGAAACTGAAATGCATGTATGCCAGGAGATCACAACAGGCCATCCTTGCAAATCAATAGAAATGCAATCCTGCATCCTCCATCTGAGTGGAGTAGTAGAGGGGAGAAAGATGCAAGGATTACTCATTCCCAAGACCCCTCAAATGAAGTCAAACCATGTCCTCCTCCCTGGGAGGAATCACTGAAGGAAGGAACAATACTGGACCCAAGTCACACTTGTGTAGCCTCCCATCATCACAAATCAATAGCAATGCAATCATGCCATCACCATCATAGTGGTGTGGTGGATGACAGAAAAGCAAAGATTGCTCAATGCCTGGGACCCTTGAAATGGTTCCAAATTTTGTTCTCCCCCTGGGAGAAATCACTGAAAGAAGGTGCAATACTGGATGTAACTCGTTCTTGCCTAGCCTCCTATCAGCCCATCCTTGTAAATAAATAGCAATGTAATCCTGCCTCCATCATCTCAGAGGAATGGTGACTGGCAGAGATGTACAAAAATTGCTCATTCTGACTGCCCAAACCCTGTCTTGGGAGGAATCAAATGGCATCAAACCTCATCCCAGGAGGAATGGCTGCAACTGACCTGACTCGCACTTGTAGCACACAAAGGTCTCCCCTGGGGCACAGGCAACCATTGGAGCCAGCCACCAGGATACCATCCTGACCCACAGACTGCATCTTCACTACACACTGATAGATAGATAGATAGATAGATAGATAGATAGATAGATAGATAGATAGATAGATAGAGAATTTCAGACTAGATTGCACAAACAGGGCGTGCGAATGAGGCTAGATAGACAGGAGGCACACCCACACAGTAATGAAAGAAAGAAAGAAAGAAAGAGGGAAATCCCTACTCTGCCATGCCACCAAGGCTCACAGAAAAACAAGGAGAAAAGGAGAAAGGAAAATCCTTTCTCTGCTATGCCACCAAGGCTCACAGAAAGGCAAAAAAGAAAGGGGGGGGGGGAGGAAAATCCCTCCTCTGCCATGCCACCAATGCTCACAGAAAAGCAGAGCCTTGTCCCCCTGAGATGATCCCTTCCCTGAGTCTTTCTAAAAGAAACAAATCGTGCAGGGCGTGTGAATCCGGAGGCACAAGGAAAACATCTCCGGCTTCATGCCTTTGAACCAAGAAAGGAGTAAATGGGTGAGGGGAGGAGGGCACCGGAAGAAGGGACCTGCCATGCTAGCCTTTGCCAAGGCTCCTTAAAGTGGGTCTCTTTCCATCCCACTGTGTGTCTCCACGCACAGACACACACGCACACAGAGAGCAATTCCTCTGCTCCAGTTTCCCTAGGTGACCTCATGGTGGACCCCAATGACATCCATAATCCCCCCGCCAGTTCTCTGGGGACAGAGAGGGAAGACGGTAAGAAGAAGAGGATTGTTGCCTTGGAAGAAGCCGGCATCCAGTCCACATTCCCAGATAAACTAGGCCCAGCTGGTGGATACTACACAGGCGAGGACAGAGGTGGATGGTGGGAAGAAGGAATTCCCACCTCCCCTAATAATAATAATAATAATAATAACAATAATAATAATAACAATAACAATAGATGTAGGCAGGAAAAAACATATTCAAACGTAGCATATACAATTAGTTACAAACCTGGCTGGTGGATGCCACACAGGAAGAGGCGAAGGGGTGGGGATTCCTACCTCCCTTGAGAATAATAAAAGTAATAATACTAATGGCAGGGAGCAACAACATATTCAAATGCAGAATAGGCAACCAAGACATGTTAACAGGGCCTGGCTGCTGGGTGCTACATAGAGAAGGCTGAGAAGGAATTTCTACCTCCCATGGGACTAATAATAATAATAGACGGGGGGGGGGGGGTTAATAACATGTAATAGTGTCCTTCCACGCAGCTATATAACCCAGAGTATCAAGGCAGGAAATCCCACAATATCTGCTTTGAGCTGGAATATATGGCAGTGTGGACTCGGATAACCCAGTTCAAAGCAGATATTGTGGGATTTTTTTCTGCCTTGATATTCTGGGTTATATGGCTGTGTGGAAGGGCCCTTAAAGTGCAGCATGTAGGATCAATTAAAAACGCACAGCACATCACCTAGTTAGAAGGACATAGGAAACCAATGCATGTTAATAAGGCCTGGCTGCTGGGTGCCACACAGGAAAGAAAGGGGGGGGGGCATTCTCATATCCCCTAGGAATATCAATAACAACAACAATAACAATAACGACAATCAAGGTAATTCAAATCCAGCCTGTAGTTTAAAACGCCTCGCTAAAAGGATAGTGGCAACCAATGCACACTGAATAGGGATATCAGGAAACAAGCAATACACTCAATTCAAGTCCAACAGAATCAAAGCCAACCAGTGCATTAATGCCACACCGGGGGGGGGGGGGATTCCCACCTCCCTAGGAATAATAATAGATAGAGGCAGGGAATAGCAACATATGGAAATGCAGCATATACAGCTAAAGAGGCCTAACCGCTCACCTAGGTGAAAGAACGGAGGCAAGCCATGCATCTTGAGTACCTCAGAGGAAGCCGCCCCGCAAGGTGCCACACCAAAGGGACGGAGGAGGAGGAGGAAGAGGGGGGCTCACGGGGAAGGCGCTGCAAGGAGGATGCCGTAGAGCCGGGAGAGAGGAAGCGCACCCCGTGTCTCCCCCGCTTCCTTCTTCCGAGGCTGGAAGCGGCTCGCTCTCGCGCCAACGCCAGCCGGCTTCTCTGTGTGTGTGCGCGCGCGTGTATATGTGAGGGGAAGCCAAGAAGCAAGTGCTGGCTGAGGCGAGGAGAAACACGAGCGCGCTCGCGAGGCTGCGCCGCCTCGAGCGCGTGCCCGAGAAAGAGACTGAGAGGGAGGGAATGGGGCTTGGGGAGTGGCGCGAGGGCAGGGTGGGCGGGAGAGAGGGAGCGCGCGCGCGAGAGAGAGGTGCCGTGCCTCTCTCTCTCTCTCTCTCTCTCTAACCCCCGCCCCTCGCAGACACGCCGCGCGCGCCTTGGAGTCCGTTACTCGCCTGCTGCTGCTGCTGTGCGCTGACAGGGCGCGCGCCCCCTCTCTCCCTAACACACATACACTCTCTCTCTTCACAGCAGCACAAAACGACACGCTCACAGAAGCACATACACACTGTGTGTGTGTGTGTGAGAAAGAGCATCCTCCACCTTTTCCCCATTGAGTGCTGCTTATGTAACGGGTGGCGTGATGCCCGGCCTCCCCCCTTGCCCCGATGCTGCCTTTTTTTTCTCACTAGGGTTTATTCCCTCAAAGCGTATTATTGGTCTCTAGCAGCAGATTAACATTTCCTCTGTATCTGCTGCACTGGATATAAAAACGTCCTGCCTCAACAAGGCCAAGAGGTTTAAGTTGGCATGAAAGGATGGAATTGAGTATCTCTGATCTGCAATGCTTGGGGCTAGAAGTATTTTGGATTTTCTCCCCCCAGATTTTGGAATACCTTTATCCACAAATGAGATACCTTAAAGACAGGACCCTTATCTAAACCATTTTTTTAAACAAACATTTGATTTTTCCCCACATGTAATGTGATTTTTTCTCTATATATATGCCACAAAAAACCCTACCAACCCCCGAGATCACTCCGTTCAGACGATCAGAATTTCCTTGAAGTTCCCAATTTTAGGACCTTTCACCTGATGTCTAATAGGTGTAGAGCATTCACGGTGGTGGCTCCGTACCTGTGGAATGCCTTGCAAGCGGAAACACCAGCTCTCAGAGATTTACTCTTTTCGTAGAGCTTGTAAAACTTATTTATTTAGGCTGGTATTTGAATCTTGCTGATTGAATTTTTTCTTTGATTTTAAATGTAATGTATCTCATATGTATATTGTAAACCGCTCCGAGCCTTCAGGGAGTGGCGGTATATAAAATTGATTAATAAATAAATGAATAAATTAAAGAGTTATTAAATTTTGAAAGCTCTTTGTGGCTTTTGGCCCACCCTGTACAAATGGTCTGAAAGTAATTTGAAACAATATATCTTTAATAATGTTTGTGCATGAAATGAAGTTTGGGTATGTTGAACCATCTGTCACTACCAATTTTGAAGTATTTCACATTTCAGAATTCCAGAAAAAGGACACTCAACTTGTGTATGGTATAAGTGTTAGCAAACTTTAATGCTGAGAAGAAAAAAATATTTTTGAATTTTGAAGTACATATTTCAGGTTTCAGAATTCCAGAAAAAGGACACTCAACTTGTATATGGTATAAGTGTTAGCAAACTGTAATGCTGAGAAGAAAATAATATTTCTGAAAATATTACTATCTCAGCCAGCCATGTGGATAGTTTCAACTTTTGGAATACTTCTGGTTTTGGAAATTTCAGGTAAGGGACACTCAACCTGTATTTGGTTCTAGCAGGTGTCTAAATGTCTTCTGCTTCTACACTTCCTCAACAGAGCTAAGGCCATGTACACATGCTATTTATTTATTTACAGTGTCAGAAGTGAATTGAGGGTGCAGTTATAATGTATTAAAACACTAACAAAGTTAAAAACTTGGCATTATACCAAAAATGTCCTTTGACCACTTGGAGTGCCTCTGGTGTTGCTATGAGAAGGTCCTTCACTATGCATGTGGCAGGGCTCAGTAGGTGGTCTGTGGTTTGCTCTTCTCCACACTCACATATTGTGGACTTCACTTTGTAGTCCCATTTTTTAAGGTTAGCTCTGCTTCTCGTGGTGTCTGAGCGCAGCGTATTTATTGCCTTCCAGGTCACTCAATCTTCTGTGTGCCCAGGAGGGAGTTTCTTATCCGGTCTCAGCCACTGATTGATGTTCCGGGTTTCAGCCTGCCACTTTTGGATTCTCGCTTGCTGGGGTGTTCCTGCGAGTATCTCTGTCAATCTTAGGATGTTGTTTCTTGATTTAAGGTGTTGGCATGCTGGCTGATATCCGAACAGAAGATGGGCCAGAGATGTCACTGCCTTGGTGCTTTCATTATTGGCTGCTTCTTCTCAATGGATGTCAGGTGGTGCAATACTGGCTAAACAGTATAATTTCTCCAGTGATGTGGGGCATAGACGTTCTGTGATAATCCAGCATGTCTCATTAAGAGCACACATCCACTGTTTTAATGTGGTGAGATGCATTCCATACTGGGCATGTGTATTCAGCAGGACAGTAGCAAAGCACAAGGGCAGATGTCGTCACTGTGTCTGGTTGTGATCTCCAAGTTTTGCCAGTCAGCTTTCATACAATATTATTTGTAGCACCCTGTATTTTCTTGATATTCAAGCAGTGCATCCTATAAGTCAGAGCATGGTCCAGAGTAACTCCCAGGTATTTTGGTATGCTGCCATGCTCCAGTGGGAGGGAAGGAAGGAATCCCTACACACGATAAAGAAATTAAAATTAAAATGAAAAGCTGGATTTAATATGTAGGAACTGACAGAGAAGTAAAGTACGTTATATATACATTTGGAGTGTGTTTGTTGTTTGTTATTTGTTTTTATGTTCTTAATAAAAACAAAGAAGCCACTTAATCTAGGCTAATAGACCACTAATGCCTTTTAAACTAGTCTGTGAACACTGGATGAAGTTTTTCTTCCTTTGTGTTGTCTTTCATGTTTTCAGTGCTGTTCTAATATCCATCATGTGCCGATAATAAGCAAAAATGTTAGTGGCAGCACTATGACACCTGTATTATTCCCATATTACAACTAGTCCTAGGACCTTCAAGATACACATTACTAGTAAGAAGCTTTGCTTATAAGAAATGGTTATTTAGTGGCATCACTGGGGAGGGGAGTACAAACCCCTAGGTGACATTATCAGCGTGGGGTGACACCCAATCTGAGTGTCTATAACAACTATAAATATGCATTCCATACATGGTGTGGAGACGGGACATATGAACTCTGCATTTTAACATGTGTAGTAGATGAGTTGAGATACATGGATTCTGAACTGGATTTACCTAAGATCTGTATTACTAACTATAGGAATTTCTGCACCTGCAAAATCGAGGTTGCTGGAGTTAGCACTCTTCCCTTCTTGTATTTCAGAAAAGACGAGTGATTAGGTTACAGCAAGAAACAAACAACAAAATTTAAGCCAGCTATTCTATGCATAGTTATTGGAACTAAATCCCTTGAACTCAATGAGACGTATTTGCCTCGGCTTGGGATTTTTGTGCATTGGGTTGCAATGATAACTTGTAATTTGACTCTGTAAAGTAATTTGACTCTGTAAAGCAGTTAAATTCTATTTGGGGCCAAGATCACAGAAACAGATAATTATTCTCAGTTATTTACACAAATGTTAGATTACAAAATAATGTAGAAAGGATTTGCCTATTTAATTCCTGGATTAAATAGGCAAACCAGTGTTAGAAAGGAGTTCAATATAAAATTAACAGAAATTAGTTGATCTTAAAAAATCCTGGAAAATTATAGACAACTATACTCAAATAGTAAATTCAGTAATATAACTCTTTCCTTTATTTTTTTTGTCTCAATGCAGGTGTGGGAATCATGTGTCCATCCTAAATTTGTTGTTTTGCAAGTCACAGTAGACTTAGCTAATACAGCACACAGCCAAGAATGCTAGGGACTGTAGATCAACAGTATAAGGACACTGCATGATTTCCACCTCTGCTCTAACGTTAGGGTTTAATCAACTTTAAACATTTCATTTCATTGCATAAAGTAACTTTTTTCAAAATGAAACTTGCTATGTAGGAGAGATTTGGTGTACAAATATACAAGGAATGGCCTTTCTTTAGCTATGTTGTTTTTTCCATGCTGCTTTTTCATTTTGTACACAATATAATTATTTTTAACATTTTACCAAGTGTGTAGTGAATAATGTTGGTCTGTCTATAAATTAACTCCCTTTGAATTATTTACACACACACACATTCATTTATTCATTTGTATAATGCTCTTTTTGAAGTCAGTCTCACACTTCACCTTTGCTAGGAGTACTTTGTGGTGTGTGTGTGTGTGTGTGTAGATCTGGAGGGTCCATGGTGCAGATCATTGGCCCCCAGATCTGCTGTAAAGGGGGAGGCACTCAGTGGGCATTAATGCTTACATTCACTCATGAACACAGTATCCTCTCCAAAGAAGCTGGAGTTCTGATGTTTGTGTATGAGAAAGAAGCAACTGAGTTACAGATCAAAAAATTTGAAAAACGCTGTGTTTGCCTGGGAAAAGACAAAGTCTGAGAATAGCAAAAGTTATGCTATATAGGAAAAAGAACCCATATAACTGTTTTTTACAGAAACATTGTTGAATATCTGGAACAGATGACACCTCTGGGTTCAGAGAGGAATAACATCACGCTTTCATCTGTGCACTATAATTGTAGCTCAATATTTTCACCAGATGTCTTTCAGACAGACAAACCAGGATAAGCTTACAAGCATGAGAAATTTTAGCACTATTGCAGCCGTGCGGATGATGATTACCCATGAAACAGTATCACATGCCAGCAAAATAGACTGAAATAGAAGCAGAGATATACTTTAATCTGAAATGCAGGCACACACTACTGAAAATATAAATACTACATCCAGCTGAGTGAGTTTGTCAATGTTAGAATATGCTGAAAATGTAGTGTGAACCCCAGCCCACGAGAACAGCTGGCATATAGACAGGAGGTTAAACCTTGTAATATAGAAAGCTGCATGAAACTACCATTTAATTCAAGTTAAATTATGGTATTTAACCTTTCCCCCCTTTTAGCACTACACAATTAGGTTTGCATCATTAG